GCCGGGAGTGGGAAACCCGGGCTTCAGCTGGGCACTACGAGGGCCGGCCGGCCGCTCCGTCTGCTCCGGCCGCGCCAGCCGCGGGGCTCAGGACCAAGCGTCACTGCCCTGCCGCCCTCCCCTCACCGCGGAGCCGGCCTTACCCTGGGGGCAGCTCTGGCAGCAGTGTCCCGGCAGCAGCCGCGGCTGCACGCACGCCAGGGCTGGGCACTCGGGTTTGATGTGCTTGCAGCTGACCCTGCCCGGGCCCCTCGCGCGGCGACCCCACTGAGGCTGCTTGTGGGGAAGACGGGAAGAACGAGTGAGTGCCAGACACCAACTGGTGGGACACCCCCCCACACCCGGCGATCAGGGGACAGTCATGGGACCAGACCAAGGTCATCCCATGGAGTCAGACCGCTCCACTTCTTAACAAGCTCCGTGACCCTAAACAAACTACTTAACGTCTCTGGGCCTTGGGGTCCCTATCTGGGAAATGGGGGAAGTAATAGTGTGTATCTAGCAGGATTATTCTAGGAGTTAAGTGAGAGACCGATGAAACAGTTGGCAAAGAGCCTGACACATAGTGGGTGATCAACAACAGTCAACACCTGAGACTTGAAAGAGGCGCTTCCTCTCCACTTTCTCCGCCAGAAAGATATACATATATATCTCCGAAATACCTGCAGACTCGCTTCTTTCTGCTCAGCAGCTCCGAGTCCACTCCGACATCCCGGGGACCCGAGCGCCCCCCCACCCGCAAGGGCCCCGGCCACGGCAGTTGGGTTCACTCACCGCCTCGCAGGCGCACAGCACACAGCGCATCACCCCGAAGGGCTCCCCCAGGTCCGGGTGCCACGTCTCGTCCAAGGCATAGACCTTCCCGCCGAAGGAGCAGCCTGCGGGGACGGGCTTGGCTGGCGGCCGCTGTCCCGTTCCTGCGGTGTGCCCGCCCTGGGCGCTGCCGGCCGGGCCCTGGGTGTTCCCCGCCCCCCCCCACCCAGGCCCCCCGCACGCTGCGCCTCGCGACCCCCGCCCACCCTCCCTGGCCGCCTGCCGCGCTGAGCCACCTGCGCCCGGCGCCCCCTCCGGGCGGGCGCAGACTTGCCCAGAGCCGGACTCTCTGCCTGCGCGTCCCCCGGGCCGCCCACCTACCTGCCGCTCCCCGAATGGGCAGCGGCTCCTTCTCGGGCCGGATGGGCAGCGCGGGGGGCTCGGGGCCGGCGCCGTGGGCCGGCGGGCAGCCGAGCAGCAGCAGCCCGAGGAGCAGCAGCGGGGCCGGCGGGGCCGGGAGGCTCGGCATGACGCGAACGGGACAGCTGGGGAGGCGGGAGGGAGGAGGGAGCAGGAGAGGGAGGAGGGAGGTGGGAGGAGGGCCGGGCCGGGGGCGGTACGGCGGGAGGGGGCCGGGGCCAGGGCCCGGGCAGTGCGGCGAGGGGCTCGTCGGGCGGCGGGAGTCGGCGCCGGGCCGGGCGGGGCGGGAGGAGCGGCCGGGAGGAGCGCGGGCGGGCGGGCGCTGACCCGGGCCGTACGCGGCTCTAGTGCCCCGGGCGCCGGCTCCGGCCCGTTTTATGCCCCGCGCCCGGCGCCCCGGCCGGGGGGCCTCCTCCTCAGCAAACGGGGCGGCGGCGGCGGCTCGGCGAGGGGCCGGGCTGAGCCCGGGGGGTCCGGCCCAGCAGCAGCGGCCCGGATCGCGAGTGGGGGAGGGGAGGGAGGGGCTGGGACCGGGCAGGGGAGGAGGGAGGGGCTGGAGGGGAAGGGGGAGCGGAGGGGGTAGGGGGAGGGGAGGGACCAGGGGGCGCGAAGAGGGGAGAAGAGGCGGGTCTGGAGCCCCCCGCTGCTGGCGGCCACAGGGCGGCTGCACCAGGAGGTGCGTGTCCGGCCCAAGACGGGAGCCCCAGGCCAGGGAGGGGCAAAGGCTGGGCCTGAGGCCTGGGCCGGCCACTGGGCTAGTACTTGGTTCCTGCCGGAAAGATGAAGACTTGTCTTTTAAGGATGACAACGTGCAGGAAAGGCCCGTCAACTGATCTCCCCTACTGTGGGCCCACAGCACCTCTCAAACCCCACACCACCCACACTCATTGCCTGGCCTGTGGCCCTATCTCTTCCCTGAGGTCTTCCCTCACTCTACTGTTCCCCAGGACAGGAACTTAGCCAGAAAGAGAGTCCCCTTTCTGTCTGTGACAGTGTTTCCCTCCCTACCGTAACCTGTCCCGCAGGCCCATCCAACCATCGCTGTCCCCAGCCTGACATCCTCTCTCACCCTCTTCCCTTCACCCAGGGGACCCTCTGCCTCTCCACCCCACCCCCCAACCTCCTTTGTCTTGGTTTCCTGGTCATGCCTGCCTCCCTGTCCCCTCCCACACCCATTCACCCACCATCCTCCCAACCATCCCAGCACCCTCCTTCCTAATCTTGGGAGGCATCTCGTCTGGCTGAACTGGAGAATTCCGGGATCTAGGCCATACTCCTTAGCTGACAGCCCCATCCTTGGGAGGAGGAGCAGGAGGGGAAGAACTGGGGTGGGGGTGATGGGAACAAGGTCAGGCCAGGAGGCCCCTGAGGACAGAGACTGTGAGGAGACTGGGATTGAGGGGAAAGCAAAGGAACTAGAACCAGGGCCAAAGGAAGAGGGGGGCCAGCAGGAGGTATTTGCGGGGGAGGTTCAGCAGCTGTCTTTCCTAAGACAGGGACACATGGGCCTGGTTATTCCTCTTGTCACATATGGAGTGGTAGGAGATGGAAGGGGGAGAAAGACAGGGCAAGCTCGGGAGAGCTTGGGCACAGAGGTAAGTGGCCTTAGCTGTCTGAGTCACTGCCCCCCCCGCCCCCGCAGAGGGGCACCTGAGCCCAGCCTAACCACCCCGCAGTCCTCTCAAATGGTCCAAACCCTTTTCCTATAACACTGACCAATGACGGGGTCATTCCCTAATACAGGCAATACCCACATTCCCACTGGGAAAGGGGGAATAAGACACGACCCCCACAGGATTATAGGAGAGAAAGGCAGGAAAGCAAGAGCCCTAGTGGGTCTCAGTAGCAGGTGTGTTGTCCAGGGAGAAGAAATTTGGCCAGTCAGGAACTGAACAACGCACCAACCTAAAACCAGAACCAGATCTCTGTGCCTCTTCCGCAGGAACAAAAAGATCCTGCCAGATTTCTCCTGGGGAAAAAAGACCTGTTCCCTTCCCATCTCCTCCCCCCAGCCAGGTCCCAGGTTTCCCATCTCCTAGAAAAAGATGGATCCCCCTGTTGAAATCCTCCCTGTGGTGTGTGTGGGTGGAGGAGCTGGGCTCTGCTAGTGGACCATGGTCCAGGCAGGGGCTCCACGTTCAGTGCGGGTGGGAGGAGAAGGCGTCACTTCCGGGGGCCTTCACCAGTATCTGGTGGCTCCCTGCTCTCTGATTGGGCAGAAGTGTCCTGGGCAGGCCTGTGACCCTACTGCTGTGGAGGGGCTGTGCCCCAACACTACGTGTCTTCCTACCCATCGGCTCCCCAGAGTGCTGCCTGCTGTGCACCTGGGTCCTGGAGTCCTTCTCTACCCGGTGAGTGGCAAGCAGGGTTTGGAGTTACGTGAGGGTAGGAAGGATAGGAAAGAGGAATTGGGCTCACAGCTGGGGGAGGGGCAGGCAAACTGGAACCTACAGGCACTGACCTTTGTCGAGAAGAGTGTGTAGCCTTCCCAGAATGGGAGGAGCAGGACAGAGCAGGGGTAGGGGGTGGGGTGCTGGGTTCTGAGGGACCGATCACAGACTTGGAGGAATATAGCCCTGTCCTGGCGGGCCCTAAGGAAAGGGGACGTGTGCCCTGGGAGAAAATAAGAAAGGTGGTGCATTTAGGGCTTAGGGCATATAGCATCAAGCCAGACACAGGCCCAATCCCCATTCTTACCCAGTTGTTCTTAGTTAGCTTATGGTTCTGAATCCTGGGACTGGGGAAGCTGGGCCCAAGGAGAGGGTAGTGGGAGGAGGGCTCATGCATGTTGACAGACCTACAGGAAATCCCAATATTGAATCAGGTGCAGGCCTCTTTGCACAACTTGTCAAAGAAGGAGGAGGCCATGTGGGGGGTCCTGTGAAGGAACTGGAAGGGGTCTGCTGAGGGGGCAGGGAGGAAGATGTGGGCTAGGAGTTGGATACGGTGGGTGTCCAACACAAGGTAACCATGTAAGGTGGGTGCCTCGCTCAGCAGGTACCTATTGCTGGGCAAATTGCCTTGGGTGGGAAGTCCCAGGACTGTTAGCTCCTCTCTCCGCCTCAGATAACCCAGTATTTTAGAACTGGGAGTGCAAAGAAAAACTCCAAGAGGCTTATGGGTGGGGGTAAATGGAGAGCGAACGAGCGGTTAATTGCTCCCATACCACCTTCTCATAATCTTGTAATCACCAACCCCTAGGAGTACAGTTTTGTTTTCCCCAAGTCCTCCGCCCCGCTCCTCCAGCTACCCCTCAACACATTGCACATGTTTGCTAGCTCCTCATGCTCACCTGATATCCCGCTTTCCAACCTCTTCTCCCAGGCTCATGCCACAGTACTCCTATTCCCTCTCCCCATCCCCGATTTTCTCCAACCAAACTGAGGTTGCTCGGAATTTGAGGCCAGTTAGGGTGTGTGTGCGCGCGTGCATGCGCGCGCGCTTGCAGTATTCCATCCTGCTGCTCTCGGCAGGGGCAGGAGCACCAGCCCCATGTCAGACTCACTGAGGAACCCTGACAAAGAGGAGACACCACATGCCGCAGTCACAAGGAGACCTGGGAGCAGTCAGAGCGCTAGCAGTTCCGGGCTGGTCAGCATCTCATGCCCTCCCAGCAGCTGCACCGCACACCGCCCCCCCCCCCCCCCCAGGCAGTCCTTTCCTTGACACCTGATTCAATGTTCATTATTCCTGTCACTTGCAGGATAGATTCCAGACCCTCTTCCTCAGCCCACCTGTGCCCCACCGTGCAAGAAGAGCCGGAGCCCAAGCCGCCTCCATGGCCCCAGGAAGGAGTCAGGGGAGAGGCCCCATCCAGGGAGCCGCTCCTTCCAGACAGCCTGGCCAGAATGGAGCCGACTGGTAAGAACACACCTGCGGGACCTAGGGCCAAATCACAGAGGGGTTCAAGAGGAAAGAGAAAGGAGATGTGCTGCCTCCAGGGTGGAGGGCGGAGGGAACCCAATCTCCCAGGATTTGAGGCTTCTGAAAGGTAAATGCCCTGGATTTCAGGTCTGGGTCCTAACTGGGAATTCCTGGACTACCACCTGACAATGATTTCTTCCTCATCCACCCTGTCAACCTCACTTTTCCTCTTCTAAGAACTGCTCCTCGTGGTCATGCTTCTCCTAACTGCAAGACTGGATCTGTGCCTCCCGGCTCCTCCCGCCTGTGACCCCCGTCTCCTAAATAAACTGCTTCGCGACTCCCATGTCCTTCACAACAGACTGGTGAGGATCTCCCAGCACTCTCCCCTCTATCCATTAACTCGTTAGATACCCCTCCTCCCATCATTCCCTCTCACTCCCAGACCCGACCACTGTTCTTCCCATATTGTCCTTGGTGGGACCGCCACCTCCCCATCACCACTCCTTGATGAGGATGATGATTTGCGATCTAGTCCACTTATAAAAGCTCTAGTCTGGACATGTCTTACTCCTGGTCACTGGGTCACCACCCCCCCTCCTTTATTTGAGCTCCCATCTCCACCCCACCCCACGACCAATCTTTTTCACTAGAACCAGTGTCCAGACGTTAACCCTTTGTCCACACCTGTCCTGCTGCCTGCTGTGGACTTCAGCTTGGGAGAATGGAAAACCCAGAAGGTAAGAAAGCCATCCCTTCCTTTGGTTTCCCTAATTCCTGTCTTCATCAGTTTTCTACTGCTTCCCATGGATTCTTCAAAATTCCTGAGCTTCCTAAAAATATCTCACCTTGCGCTTGGCCACCCTAACCTAATCTACATTCCACTATGATGATATCCTCTGGACAAGATGGCTTGCAGTCCCAGTATGTGAAAATAGCTTCAAAGCTGAACACCCAGAAAAGCTGGATAGAAGTCTCTCACAGCCATGCCTTTGACCTACTCCCATGCAAACTTCTCAAGCTGGCATGAAGAAGTAAGACTGATCTGTCATCCCCAGATGACACAAAACTGGGAAGCAGAGGTAAAATAGCAAAAGATAGAATCAAGATTCACATTGCTGAAAGGCTAGATCAAAAACAAGGTAAAATTTAACAGAGATATACAACAAATTCTACATTTACTCAAAGTAATCGAGTAAAGTCCTATTCCAGCTTTCAGGCCAAAATGCCCCCACTTCCCCTTATATAAAGTTCTGGCCCTAGAACTTCCTATGAACAAGATCTGGGAGGACTGAGTTGACCTCAGACTTAGCAGGTAACACTATTAAAGCAGCTATTTTAAAAGCTAGTGATTCTAGGTGGCTTTAGATGTTTAGCATCCACCTTGTGGAAATATTCCTAAAAACCTTTAAGTGGCCTGCACTTAACAGTACTGAGTTGAGTACTGGATACTCTCCTCTAGACACATGCTAATTTATTCAGAGGGACCATATAAAACTGGCATATGTCCAGAAGGAAGAAGCAACCTGAACAGTGAGAGGTTAGAAAACACATTCTGTGAGGAATGGCTTAAAAAAAAGAAAAAAGAAAAAAGCCTGTCTGATGAATTTGGAGAAAAGTTGTAAGTCTTGTGGTATAGCTGGACATGCTTTAGTATGAGGCTCAGGAACCTCTGGGGAAGGAGCACTCCGTGCAAGGTCAGCTCTTCTACCCTCAAGGACCCTAGAATCCCCTTTCTTCCCTCGGGTCTTGGCGGGGGGGGGGGGGGCGGAACTGGGCCAGGGACGAAGGGCAATTCCTAGGGATCCCTTGCAGTTCCAGCCCTGCCATTGATCAGAAGCCCCTTTCCTTCATCTTTATGATCTTTGTGATGGTCTCATCTCTCCGCTACGTTTTTAAAAATCATGATTTTAGGGGCGCCTGGGTGGCTCAGTTGGTTAAGCAACTGCCTTCGGCTCAGGTCATGATCCTGGAGTCCTGGGATTGAGTCCCGCATCGGGCTCCCTGCTCAGCGGGGAGTCTGCTTCTCCCTCTGACCCTCTTCCCTCTCGTGCTCTCTCTCATTCTCCCTCTCTCTCTCAAATAAATAAAATCTTTAAAAAGTAAAATAAAAATCATGATTTTAGGATTTTGTAGCAGAAAGAGTAGATTGGCAGCACTAGAACCGAGAGGTTAAAAACTATAATAGTGCAGATTCCAATGTAGTGTAAGGGGGAAAAAGAACCTTTCTGACTGAAGTTAAGGGTAAGACCAGGCTGGGTTACCGGACACTGGAGTTACTCAAGCACAGGCTGATGACCAATTGTCGGGAGACTGTGAAGGAATTCCTGGGCTGGGTGGGACCTTGGTCCTGTCCAATTCTCAGCTCCTGTGATTCATTCCACTGGCTACTCCTAGGGGCTCCCCACCCGCTATTAGCATGCCCTTTGAAGCAGGCCGCTTCTCCCTTCCATCTCTTTTGCAGGAGAAGACCAAGGCACAGGACGTTCTGGGAGCCGCGACCCTTCTGCGGGAGGGAGTCATGGCAGCACGGAGACAACTGGGACCCACCTGCCTCTCATCCCTCCTGGGACAGCTTTCTGGACAGGTCCGTCTCCTCCTTGGGGCCCTGCAGGGCCTCCTTGGAACCCAGGTAAGTAAGTCCTGAGTCAAGGGAACTACAGAAACTGTCCTTTGCTGACTCAGTCCCTTTAGAAGACCTGAGGGAAAAAGGCAAATTCTGGGAATCATGAGGGTAGCACAGCTGACCAACTAAGGAGTGTTCCCTCCCAGCCATAAAGGGAGCACCTTTATCTTTCCCTGGAGACGAGGGATGGCATGATATCCAGCCCAGGTCTCTGGCCTCAGGCCCATCCTCTGCCCTCAGCTTCCTCCACAGGGCAGGACCACAACTCACAAGGATCCCAATGCCATATTCCTGACCTTCCAACAACTGCTCCGAGGAAAGGTGCGCTTCCTGCTGCTTGTAGTAGGGCCCACCCTCTGTGTCAAGCAGGCCCTACCCACGACAGCTGTCCCAAGCAATACCTCTCTATTGCTCACACTGCACAAGCTCCCAAACAGGACTTCTGGATTGTTGGAGACAAACTCCAGTGTCTCAGCCAGAACTACTGGCTCTGGACTTCTGAAGAGTCTGCAGGGATTCAGAGCCAAGATTCCTGGTCTGCTGAACCAAACCTCCAGGTCCCTAGACCAAATGCCTGGACACCTGAACAGGACACATGGACCCTTGATTGGAACTCATGGACTCTTTCCTGGACCCTCACCCATGGCCCTAGGAGCCCCAGACATCCCTCCGGGAACTTCAGACATGGACTCCCTGCCCCCCGACCTCTGGCCTGGATATTCTCCTTCCCCAACCCATCCTCCTACTGGGCAATACACACTCTTCTCTCCTTCACCCACCTCGCCCACCCCCCCCGGGGCCAGCTCCAACCTCCATCTCCTGACCCCACTGTCATAGCCAACTCGACCAGTCCTCTTCTAATTGCAGCCTACCCTCACTTCCAGAATCTGTCTCAGAAGGAGTAAGGTACTCCGGCCCTGCCAGCATCAGCACTGTCTCCATGTAAAGTTCCCTTTCCAGGAGGGGAGGCCCTGGGAGTCAAGTTATACCAGATTTCCTGCTTTCACCTGAAACCCAAAGCCCTGCTAACGGGGGAGACACGGGACAGAAAAGGGGATCATTTTTCACTGTATATTGTAAAACTTCAGAAGCTATTTTTTTAAACTATCAATAATATTCACCAGAGCAGCTACTTATCTTTGGTCTGTTTTCTGCACAAATTTACAACTAATTCTCTACATGCTCTTTTTCATACAACAATTCTGCAAAGGGCTGGACCAGCCTGACTTCTGAACGGAGGTAGAGACTAACCTTATGTTTAGAAAACAGGGGAAGAAAGCTTTGGTTTTCTACTCAGAACTAAGGTTAGTCTCTTTCTCCCCTTTACTATCATTCTCAGCGGGACTCTGATCTCGTTTTCTAAGGAGATCCTTATTCTTGAAAAATGAATGAGAACTAGTCTCTCAGAAGGACTATCTTTACACAATCAACAAAACTGAGCCTGTATAAATAAAGGATAAATAAGAATACCCAAAAGCTAACTGAAAAGCAAGGGAAAGAGGTTCTTCAAGGGGCAATAGATCTCCCCCTTCCCTCCCCTCCAAAAAAGTTAACAGGAAGCCTCGGAGAGCCTCGCACCCCAGGTAAGGCTGTGCAGACAGTTCAGTCAGGACAAAACCTGGACGTGACAGCTGAGCAAACAGCAAGAGCTTCAGCAGCTCAGCAGGAAGCCTCACCAGGCACGGGTTCCTGCCTCCCTCCTGTGGAGGTCAGGGGGAAGTGCAGGAAGTGGCAAGAGTCAGTCTCCCAGGGCTCACACAGCAGGAGGGACAAGTACAAGTTGAAGGCTCATTTCCCAATTCCCAGAAGTCCACAGTATCTAAAAAGCAGCTCTATGTGACCACCATGAACTCTGCTAAGAATTCTCTAGAGAAGAAGCCCGGCTTATGGGGCTTTGCAAATAAATGCCACCGTGGTGCTTAGGAAAAGGTTTATGTTGCCCCAAACAAAAACTCCATTGCAAAGGTCAACCCTACATCTAGAGGCTCCTGTAGGAAAACTAACAGAAGCTTTTTCCTCTTCCCTCCTCCCCCGCAACTCCCCAAAGGAGAGGAAAAACTACCATGTAGGTAGAAAAGCCAAGATCCCAGAGTTCCAAACACCGCCACAAATACCCCGGGACCAGTAAAGGTATTCCAAAATAGAAGAAGGAAAGCCAGTGTGCCAAGAGCTTTATGTAGGTTACCTTTTATAGTGCTCACACACCTCTATCAGGCTGGGGATGCTATCAGTCTCAGAGAAGCCAGGCACGTTCTCAGTGCTCACATAGCCTGTGAGCAAGAAAAGAAGAAACAGCCTGGGCTGACTAGAGCCCATACGGTCCCTAGTGTGATGCACTGTCCAATAGATCACTCAGTAATTGTGCTTATTAGAAAAGATGTTCAAGTCCTGAGGGAGGAAATACATCAACAATTAAAGAGTTCTGAGTAGAAAACCAAAGCTCTTGGACGGGGAGACCAATTTAGACATCTCCAGGTGTCCTCCTCTCCCATCATGGATGGAACAGTTGCCACGGAGAAGGAATTGACAAATGCACAAAGCTCAAAAGTGTTGTTCAGATCTCAGAGGGTGTCAGTTTTTGCATGGGAGAGAACAGTTCTTCCACACTATCAATTCCAGCATGCCGTCAAGAGAACGGTAAGTGGAAACTGTAATCTACTGAAATACCAAACTAGGCTAAATGTAATAACCAAATGAAGAACTTTGTGGCCCATGAAAGAGTTAGCACCCGGGACAAGATATGTCAAAGGGACCAAAGGCAAAGGCTTCAGGGTTCTCAGCACAGTCAGATGAGAGACAAGGAAGGCAAAACAGCAAGGAGTATACATCTAGTAAGTTCCAGGCATCCAGGATTGGCATCTGACCTATTTTAGGGCAAATGCAAATAACTCATGGGCTTTTCCAGTGAACTAAGCTGTCCCTATTGAGAATCTAACCCTTCCCAAAACTTCGTCAGGCTGATTCTATCCCTTCTTCCCTTTCCACAAAATGCAAAAAACCATTACAACCAGAACACCCTTCTCTCTATCCGACTGCATGCCAGTTCCCTCTTCTGCCACCCCAGGGCAGCCAGGATAGTGTGCTATGCTACCCCACAAACTATTACTGAGAATTAGGTTCTCCAACTCTAACCTAAGCCCATCCTTCTCAAACACCCCCAAAAATCTGACTCCATGTAAAAGTTCTAGGAGTCCACAAAAGTTCATCCCAACCCCCACTGCATCTTCTATCCCCCCACATAGTAAACCAAAGAAACACCTTTTCCTCCCCCCCTGCAGAGATCATTCATTTTCAGCCCATTTCCCTAAATACTATTTCTAACACCTCATGTAAAGACCTGAAAATGATGGGGAAGGAAACACCCCTGGGCATCCCAGCAGGGGGACAGGCTCCCCAGGCAAAGCCAGATCAAAAGAGAAAACTCCTTAATACACACTCGCCATCTTTCTGGATTGCTACCCTGAATTTCCCAGGGGAAATCAGAGCCCAGGATACTTTCTCAGAGACCTTGACTGCCAGGCTGAAGAGCCAGCTCATATGCCGGAGTCCTAGTAAGCATCACCACTTCCTCAATTTTGTTCTTGCCCAGTTTTAAGTTAGGGACTGTAGTCAGGCTGCTCCTTTGTCCTGGGTACTGCCACTGGACTGCCAACCTCATTGGTATTGCTGCCCTGTCCACTGCACTGGTCTGTGCGGCAGCTGCCTGTTCAGTGTCACTGGTGAGAACCCCCACCCCCACCCACTTACCCTCCCCTCCAGGTCATCAATGGAATGTCGAGCAGACACCTAGCTCCTCCACCTGTTCCTACAACCACCAAATCTGCTCTTCCTACTCTCCTCGTAGTCAGGTCCCAAGCCAGCATCTAAAAGCCTCCACCCAAAGCTTCCACAAAAATGAACATTTCCAGGCTGTGCAAGTGACTCATTCAAATCAACGTGATCTGACTTCCTAAGAGACTGAAAGTGTTGGAAGGACACAAGCAGGGCTCCTTGCCAATTCAAAATTTTATGCCAAATGGGTGGTATCTTCCGGGGCTGGGGTGCCCTCAAGAGCCAAAAGCACAATACTCTCTCTCCCAGAGAGAAAATCACATTGGAGAATAAATGTTGGGGATAGTCAACCAGGAGGCTGAGATAACCCTAAACCCAGATACCAAAAGGTCAGAATAGATCCTACATTGACATGTGATCATCTGGCTGTGGGCCAGAAATACAATATACCACAGGCAAATTGGAAAAAAATGATTTTAGAGTAATGGAAAAGATTTTTTTTTTTAAGGTGGGGAAAACAGTCTGAAAAAGTAAAGTTTAATTAAAAAATCATATACACAAACAACTTCTGATTCCTTTTAAGCCCTCCCACTGGGTCTTTCACAGGCAAGTTTCCCATTGAGCCCAGACCACCTAAAGAAGCACCCCCAGTGGCCAGCCAGCCAGCCCTTCCTGAACAGGTGGTCTCAGGCTCGAATGGACGTCCAAGTCCTGAGTGACTAAGCAGCAAGGTTGGCTTCCTGGGTGCTTTAGAAGGCCAGTTTCTTCATCAGCAGATAAACTCTGGAATCCACTTCAAATCCATGCAGGTTGTTGGCATCACCCTGCAGCCTCATGAGCAGGCCACCATAGGACACGTAGGCAGAGCTGAAACAGAAGGCCCCAGTCCCATGAGGTTAAGCTCTGGAGCAGCAGCGACCTAATGGCTCTCCATCCCAGCTTAAGAAAAAGAGGCACCCTTCCAGTGTTCTGTCATTAGGAACCAAAATTCAGACAAGGATGAATGCACAAATTTGTGCAAAGAAGTGTTCTTTTTATCAACAAGAGTGAAAAATGCTACACGCCCACAATAATGGAAATGGTCAAATGAATTAAGATATATCCATTTACTGGAATGTTATGCAGCTATTAAAATGTTTAGGAGAGGGGTGCCCGGGTGGTCAGTTGGTTAAGTGTCTGCCTTCGGCTCCAGTCATGATACCAGGGTCCTGGGATCGAGTCCCGCATCAGGCCCCCTGCTCAGCAGGGAGCCTGCTTCTCCCTCTCCCTCTGCTGCTCCCCGTGCTTGTGCTCTCTCTCTCAAATAAATAAAATCTTAAAAAAAAAATTTAAAAAAAAGTTTAGGAAAAGCTTTAAATTGACATGGGGAAACCTGTTTTACAAAACTTGAAGAAAAAGAGCAGAAGAAAACATTGTAATAAACGTGATCTCAAAGAAAAAAGTACATAGGAAAAAACCTAGAATATTTAAAGATGTTTATGTAAAAGATTCCCTCTGGGTATGGAATTATAGGTGACTTTTTTTGCTTCTTCACATTACTTCTCTGCTTTTCAAATTTCTTACAAAGGGCACATATTGTTTTAATAAAATTTTAAAGAAGAGAAAAAATAGTTGGGCAGGGAAACCAAAGAACTAGGGATTGGATTCCAGAATAGCAAAACACACACACAAATAAACAAAAACAAAAAAGCCTAGCAGTTTAATCACTTAATGCTGCATCTAGTTCCTGGGGAAGAAACCTTCCTTTGCACTTCACATAGCAAGATCATCAGTTTCTCATTTGGGCCCTTGGGCCCCAAGGTCCTGACAAAGGGCCAAGTGAGCAGCCTACATTTCAGACTGGAAACTGTTCCCACAAGAGTTTCTTTCTGGGTCCCACCTAGGTCTGAGGTGCTTGGGGAGAGAGACCCAAACCAGGAAACATGAAGCATGGCCCAAATTTTCAGAGCAGAGCTCAGGTTATCAGAACAGGGCTGGGGGGCAAGGGTTCTCACAAGACCATGGAACTTACAGACGCGTTGCTGCTTCAGTAGAAGTTTCGTCGCCCTCAATCCTGTATACTTTCCCATACATTACATACTCAAACTGGTCAGCCCTGTGGAACAGTAGTGGCAAGGTTATTCTTCAAAGTAGTTAACAATAACAAGAAGCCCTTTAAAAACGGTAACTGGTAACTAAGTGTCAACATTCTAACAGATGTTTTCCAAACACAATGCCATTTAGTCCTCCCAGGGACCCTATGAGCAAGGTGTGACCATCTGTACTTTACTGACGGGGAAACCGAGGCTGCAAGAGGTTAAGGCTATTCAATAAGTAAGTGGCAGGGCTGAGATTGGAACTCCATCCAAAGCCTTTCCATCACACCAAACTCCCTCTGAAGATGCAAAGCTCATACAGCCTGGGTCACTCAGTGGTCATCTCCTCAGCGATCAATAAGCTACAACCCACAAGCATGTAATCACTGCCCTGGATAAACACCTGGCTGTTTGAATTCTTAAGTGCAGCACTTTCCTTAAGGTTGCTCAGATTCTACTGATAATCATTTATTCCACAAATTAAATAAGGATCTTTCTATACCCCTCATCTACTTAGTCCTCAGGCATATTTCAAGTACTCCCTTCTTCACTTCCTCACCTGGAAGGTCTATCATCTGTGGGGTTGTATTCGCCGTCATCCAGGGTACCATCTTCATATAAGGTACTGGCTATGACCAACCGGAACTTGTCACCTGAAAATCATGGCAATATCTGAGGCTGAAGAACAGCTGGAATGAAAAAAAGCCTCCTGCAATTGCCTGTGTTCAATACTTACCCAGGTCCACAGGGTAAATCTGAATGTTTACATCTAAGATCAGGTCCATCTTGAAAGACTCACTCTCACAATGTAGTCGAGACACTGGAGGGAAGTAGAGAAAGAGTGGCATGGGTAATTGCCAGGCCCAGGGCAGACCCTGCAGACCCCACTCTGGAGGATTATATGTAATTGAACACTCATTCTAACCCAGTCTGCATCCACTAGCCTCTCATCTGCTCCCAAAGAAGTGCAGACTCAATCAGAACCAGATATGCCAGGAGGACAGGGGAGAAAACTATGGCAAGTGGACAGAATCTCAGAAAAGAATCAAAGGTCCTCTGGCAATAAATAATATCCAGGTTCTAGACCTGCCTAGGTGATTAAGAAACAACCTGACTGAATGGCCAAAATTAACAAGTCAGGAAACCACAGATGTTGGCGAGGATGCGGAGAAAAGGGAACCCTCCTACACTGTTGGTGGGAATGCAAGCTGGTGCAGCCACTCTGGAAAAACGGTATGGAGGTTCCTCAAACTTGAAAATAGGGGCGCCTGGGTGGCTCAGTCATTAAGCATCTGCCTTCGGCTCAGGTAATGATCCCAGGGTCCTGGGATCGAGCCCCGCATCGGGCTCCCTGCTTGGCAGGAAGCCTGCTTCTCCCTCTCCCACTCCCCCTGCTTGTGTTCCGTCTCTCTCTGTCAAATAAATAAAATCTTAAAAAAAAAAAAAAAAAAGTTGAAAATAGAGCTACCCTACAACCCAGCAATTGCACTACTGGGTATTTACCCCAAAGATACAAACGTAGTGATCCGAAGGGGTATGTGCACCCCAATGTTTACAGCAGCAATGTCCACAACAGCCAAACTATGGAAAGAGCCAAGACGTCCAACAACAGATGAATGGATAAAGAAGATGTGGTATATATATACAGTGGAATATTATGCAGCCATCAAAAAAAATGAAATCTTGCCATTTGCAATGACATGGACGGAACTAGAGGATATTATGCTAAGCGAAATAAGTCAATCAGAGAAAGACAAGTATCATATGATCTCACTGATATGAGGAATTCTTAATCTCAGGAAACAAACTGAGGGTTGCTGGAGTAGGGGGGTGGGAGGGATGGGGTGGCTGGGTGATAGACATTGGGGAGGATATGCACTATGGTGAGTGCTGTGAATTGTGCAAGACTGTTGAATCACAGACCTGTACCTCTGAAACAAATAATACATTATATGTTAAAAAAAATAAAAGAAGAAGATAGTAGGAAGGGAAAAATGAAGGGGGGGCAAATCGGAGGGGGAGACGAACCATGAGACACTATGGACTCTAAGAAACAAACTGAGGGTTTTAGAGGGGAGGGGGTGGGGGGATGGGTTAGCCCGGTGACGGGTATTAAGGAGGGCACGTACTGCATGGGGCTCTGGGTGTTATATGCAAACAATGAAGCATGGAACACTACATCAAAAACTAATGATGTACTGTGTGGTGACTAACATAACATAATAAAATAAAATTAAAAAAAAAAAGAAGAAGAAGAAACAACCTGACTTTGGGCAAGTTACTCATTCATCCAAAGGTTTTGTCTTTCTGTGCCAGGTGCTGTGCTGAGTGGATTATCAGGACTCTTAAGAACTGGTGTTTGTCTTGAAGAACGTCTCAGTCTCCAGGCAAAGGAAGAGACAGACACCAAGGAGGAATGATTACTGATCAATGACAGAATAAAGAGATGTATAGCAAGCAGGCAATTCTAACTCTGAGAGGACGTCACAAAGAGCTAAAGATTCTTAGGACAATACAAGAATATAGGCTCTGAAGTCGGACTTACTCACTGTGCAGCCTTGGGTAGGTTACTTAACTTCTCGGAACAAAATGGATTAAGACACCAACTACCTCATGGTGGCTCTTGAAAGGAATAGGTAGGACAAAATGTATGTAAGGTGCACGATACAGCGCCTACCACAGAGTGGGGAGCGATTAGAAAAATGCAGTCTACCAGCACCATGAGAAAAGGCCACCCAAGCACAGGACACAGCCTGTGTGAAGCCAGGCCGAGTTCCGGAGTCTCCGTGTTCCCATCTATACAGTGTTTCCTGAGGGAGATTCCTATGTCAGGAACTGCCTGTAGGGGCAGGTCACGTGGGTTGGGTGGACAAAGGGCCCAGGGGCGTGTCCCCGAGGCGGTTAGCCCCTTCCTCTAAACCGCCCCTACGTCTACGTACACCTTACCTCGGTCAAACTTCTTGCCCTCCGGGTCAATGTCTTTCACATCAAAAATATCCTCAAACAGGATGCCCGCCATGGTGAGGTGGCCACGAGAGTAGCAGAGGGGCTGGGAGCGCGACCACGCCCAGGGGTACGCGCTCCCCCTCGCGTGGAGAAAAGGAGAGAGGGAAAAAGAGAGTGCCTACACAGCGGCAGCAAGGAACTAGAACAACGCATGCGCACGGACATGCAGTAACGCTACCACTTCCGCCGCCTGGCTCTCGGGGCTGCCTAACTTCCGCCCCTAATGATTCTTTCCGAGAGGCCTCAGGATTTAGGGCGGGTCTCAGGGCCGGATAACTCCGCCCCAGGGCGGGGACATGATTAGTTCCACCTCCGGCCGAGGTGGCGCGGTTCCTCGCTTGACGCTGAGGCTCTACTGCGCCCTCTTAAGAGTCCGGGTCGGGAAGACTGGAATGCACGGGGGGCCTACCCCAGCCAGGGACCTTGATCCTTGGCCCAGAGAAGCCCGGCCCAAGCCGTACACTGTTGGTCTGCGTGCCCGCCTAGGGCACAGTCCGCGCCGAGGGCGGGCGGAACAGAACTCCGTTCCCAGCGCGCTGACCCTGCAGGGCACAGAGCCCCGTTCCCCCAGCTGGCACGGAGGCCTAGCCCGGCCCAGGCCGGACCGGCTTGGCCCTGCTGGATGTCACCCGAGCCGGGTCCGTCCAGTTTGGGAATTTGCCATGATGTCACTATGGGGAAGAGGAAAGCCTGCACTTGTCCCCTCCCCTGGTACGGCACCCTCCCTACCACTGCCCTCTTCCCCTGGGCCCTACTCTCTTCTACTCTGCCTCTTCAGCCCGGCATTAACGCCAGCCATCACACTGCTCTCTAACTCGGGAGCACTGGCTCTTCAGCTTGGGACTACCTGCTCCCCGACCACTGCCTTCTCCCTCCGGACGCTGATCTGTGTGCCCCTTCATGTTGGCACTGTCCTCGCCCACGGATACCAGCTCTTCCTTTATACTGCCCCTTCCTCTTGGGTGCTGGCTCCTCACACTGCCCCCTTTCTGGCACTGCCTCTGCCTCCCACATGCCCCTTCATCCTGGTACTGCGTCCTCCCGCACACTCCCTGTTTCCTGGGCACTGGCCTCTCCCCTAACACTATCTCTTACATTGCCCATCCACCCTGTGCTCACCCCACCCTCTGCTCTGTCCTTCTCCAGACCCTGATAGAGAACGCAGAGCCCCAGCAGGCTAGGCTGTTCCCCCATGGTGGCGAGTCGTCAGTAGCTACTTGGGTTTCTCCTCGGGCCCTGCCAGGCAAAAGCGACCTCTGTACCCCCACGCCCATCTTCCAGGAGCGGCCTCGCCGGCACCTAGACATCTCTTCCCTCGGGCCTCACCCCTTCACTTTTCCTCCCCACCTCCACCCGGGTACACCCCCCCAGGCCGGGTTATTCCAGGTGCTACTTCCTAGGGGAGTCGCGGAGAAGAAAAGGAGGAGGGAAGAGAATGAGACCGAAGTTCTCAGTTCCGAGCATCACCTCCTCACCCCCGCCTTCTGGGCCTAGCGTCCCCCTCCGAGTCCCCCCAGCTTTGCTCCTCACCCTCGACAGAGCAGAGGGGCCTTGCCAGGCCCGTCTGAGCCGCTGACCCCCCTCCGGAGAAGCAAGAGAGGGCGCCACTCCTGAGAGACTGAGCCCAGAGTCTGATTTAGACGGCTCTGCAGCCCCGGGCCCCAGGCCCTACCGCTCCGGCGTCTCCAGCCCCTCCTGCCCCGGCTCCCCGCGCGCCGCGGGCCGGGCCCGGCCCATCCACGTGCCAGCGGGCCCGCCCCCACTCCGGCACCCCACGCCCCCTCTCAGTCCCAGGCCTTCGCGCAGAGGGGGCGCCAGCTAGCACGTTCCAAGCGCCCCCTGCCGCCTCCCCGGAGCCTGGGCGGCGGCCCCAGCGCAGCCCCCCGCCCGGCTGGGTCGGCCCCCGTGGATGGGCGGGCGGGCGGAGCGGCACGGAGGGCACCGCCCTCGGCCCGCCCGCCGAGGAGGGGACGCGAGCGGGAGGCTGAGCCAGCAGCGCCCGCCCGGGGCCCGCCGCACTCTGTACTCGGCCGCCCGGGCGGCAGGGACGGGACGGTTGCCGGCGCGGGCTCTGTGGGCCGGGAACGGAGTCCGGGCCCGGGCCCGAGCCGCAGCGGGAGGCCAAGAGGGCTGTAGGCAGAGATGGCGGCCGCGGGGGCCGCGGCGGCCGCGGAAGGGATGGAGCCGCGGGCGCTGCAGTACGAGCAGACCCTGGTAAGCCCGAGACGAGCCCTCAGGAGTGCGCTCCCGGACCGCTGCTCCGGGTTACCCTTGGAAGCGCGAGGCCCGGGGGCCTACCCTAAGCCCGCCCTCGCCTTCTGAGCTGGGGAAACTGAGGCTCGAGGGCCTGAGAGGCTGGAGGGCTAAAGGGTGGAAAGCTGCATGCAGCTGAGGCGGGGGGGGGGGGGGCCTGCAGAGGACAAGGACTTCAGGTGCTTATCCCAGGTGTCCTTCCCTTTACCACCCCTACGTACACACGTTTTCTTTGCTCCTCTCCCTCACCACCTGGGCTGAGGTCTCAGCACCCCACTACCCCTCCCCAGCACCACTCACACCCTTGAACTTTTTCTCTTTTCCCTCCCATTTCCACCATCCTAGACATTCCCTCTGCCCCCACTAAGTGCGTGGCACTGCGCTGGAAGTAGAAACAAGAGTGTGTAGAAAAATGTTCAGACCCAAACCCAGCCCCAGCCCTTCCACGGCGGGGGGTTGCTGGCAACCCAGCATTGGCAGGAACCGCTCCGGATTCTCTGGGGGAAGAGGTGGCCTGTCACCCCAGCTTTAGGGAGGATGTGTCAAGCAGGAATGGGTGTGGGAATTGGGACCTTTGTCCATGTTGACTCTGGGTATCCAGCCCCCAACCACCTCAGGGGTGTCCCTTAACCTCATTAGAAGCAGGGGTCCTGGGGCTGTGAGCTGACTCATGGCCACCATTGTAACTTAGTGCTTAAGAAGGCTTTTTTTTTTTTTTTTTTGCCCCTTCTTGTGGCACCGGGCAGAGGACCCAAACTCGAGGGAAGGGAGTGGGCCCTGTGGCTCCTTTTCACCAGCTTGGGTTGGAATTTGCCCAGGAAGGAGGCAGGAAGGGAATGTCTCCAGGAGGAGGGGTCCTGGGCTGTAGCTGGGGCTGGGAGGTGCCCGTTATGAGAGAGAGACTGGATGAAACAGGATGACAGGGAGAGGTGGCAAGGGCGGGGGTGGAAAAGGGAGAGGGGCAGGCCTTGGCGTAGTGGTGCTGCACTGGCTGAGAATGGGGCTTCGGTCAAGGAAGCCAGGCACCTGACCTCTGAAATGGTGTCTCTCTGTTGCACCAGCCACATCTCCACCTCCTCCGCCTGGTCTCTATCTCTGGAATGAATCCTCAGGGTCACGCTCTCTCCCGAACACCCTCTGCTCCAGCCTCCCCCCCCCCTTCTCCTTCTAATCCCTTTGTCTTTCTCTCACACACTCACCTCCCCCTCCTGCACTGTGTCCGCCTCTTTGTACTCTACTTCTTTCTCTCTTTTCCTCCTTCCTTCTTCCCCTCTCCTCTCCTCCTTTCTCTTCTCTGCCCCTTCCTCTGGCCTCTCCTTTCCCTTTCCTCCTCTCTCTGCCTCCCTCTCCTCCCTTTCCTCCCTATCACTCTCTCTCTCTCTCTCTCTCTCTGTCTCTGTCTCTGTCTCTATCTTTCCCTCCCCCCCCCCCCACCCCAGCCCCAACCGGAGCCCTTTGTGTCCCGAAGCTCTGCGGGTGGCCGCCGGAATCCCCTCCTCTCCCCACCCCACCCCCCACACGCCCAGCTTGGCCCGTCTAGCTGAGGCTCAGCGATTCTCCCGTCCCAGCACCCCAACATCCCCAGTCATAGCGCAGCCATCGGCTGGCTACCGCCGACCCCCGACCCACCACTGGACTCAGGCAGCTCCAGAGTGGGGCTGAGGCCCCCCAGCACTCTCCGCCCACCCAGAGACTTCCCACTCCCAGCTGGGCTGGCAGTAGGGGCGGAGAACGGGGACAAGGGGATTAAGGTGGGTGGGAAGGGTGCAGCTGAGTGGGTCACAGGCTAGAGGCCCAGCAGGAACGTGATAAGGATTTAGGCCCCGCCTGCTCCTAGGCCCAACTCAGCTGCCCCCAGCTCCCTGAGGCCCTCATTGTTGTTCCCCTTCCGTCCTTGACCATCCCTTATTCTCTGCCTTTCCCTCCTCCCACTTGCAGCCTGCCCTAGGTTTTTCCACCTTTTCCTCCCCTGGGGCCCTCCCTCCACCCCTCCTCCACGCTCCCAAGCAGGCTGGTGAGAAGAGGACCAATTATTCTCACCCCCGGCACTATGCCCTGTACCTTGGCTGTCCCCATCACTCTGGCCAGGACAGCCCCCACAGTCTGCAGTGGGCCTTGTTTCCACACCCCAAGCCAAAGTGGGAACTGGGGGTTCAGGAGAGGGCCCATCATGTGAAGGCTGGGAGAAGGGGAGTGAACGCAGTGGTCCCCCGCTCAGCTCACATCTGCTAATGCCCCCATCTTCCCTCTTGGGCAGATGTATGGCCGGTATACTCAGGACCTTGGGGCCTTTGCCAAAGAGGAAGCTGCTCGGATTCGCCTGGGAGGGCCTGAGACCTGGAGGGGTCCTCCTTCTCCTCGGCCTCCCCCAGAGCTCCTGGAATACGGACAGAGCCGTTGCGCCCGATGCCGCAGTGAGACCTGGGTTGGGGCAGGAGACGTGGCTGTGCATTGTGCAGTGCTGTGCTGAGGGGGCTGGGGGCCGTAGAGCTACCCGCTGGGAGGTGGGAGGTTGGGGGTGGGGGGCGGAGGTAGGAGCACTTTGGTGCTAGCCTGCCGGTTCTTCCCTTCCCCGCTCGCAGTCTGTTCCGTGCGCTGCCATAAGTTCCTAGTGTCCAGGGTTGGTGAAGACTGGATCTTCCTGGTCCTGCTGGGGCTCCTCATGGCTCTGGTTAGCTGGGCCATGGACTATGCCATCGCTGCCTGTCTGCAGGGTAAGGACAAGGGCTGGCAAGGGGAAGGCGGGGAGGAACGAACCTGCTTCCTCCATGCCACACTTGTCCAGGTGGCTTGGCTACTTGGTCCCTGACCACGTTCCCCAGCCAGCCTGACTGCCCCCTCTTCAGGCATAACCACTGCCCCTCCCATAGGCCACAGGTTCTTGCCTCCCCTCTCCAACCGACCCTTTTACCCGTTGTGATCTTTGTCCCAAAGAATGT